AAGAGAAAATATGAGATCTTATTGTGTCTATTGAATTACTTAATATTTAGACAAGATGTTATTTCTACTCATAATAAATAGAACATCTCTTGGGGATGTAACTTAGTATCTGACTTATTCTTATAAGAAATGTTGATAGATTAAAAAATAAATTTGTTAAATTAAAAATTATTTTCATTACTGCTCAAAATTTTCACTTTATCTCTTCTACTATTTGAGCTTTCATATTTAGTATACTTTGTGTGTGATCAGTCAGATGGGGGTTTGCTCTCTCTCTGAACTCAGTACACCTGTACCACAGTTTGGATGTGGCTTCCTGCTCTGGTAGATGTTAGAGCCAAGGGAAGTTGCAGTATAGCCACTTTCCACTCCTTCCATTTCTGTCCCACTCTTCCAGCTATGCCATAGCTGACAATGCTTACCGCATGATGTGCTCTGAGCTAAGTAACCACTTCATCCTCATTTCTGGAGAAAGTGGGGCAGGGAAGACGGAGGCCTCCAAGAAGATCCTCCAGTATTTTGCAATGACCTGTCCCATGACCGAGTCACTACAAATAGCCCGTGACAGACTGCTGCTCTCCAACCCAGTGCTAGAGGTAAGCGATCTTTGAGGACCTATAAAGGGGAGTTCCAGGAAGGTCACTAAGTGAGAAGACTTTTCAGTCAAAATGGGCAAGTCACTGCCTGGGAGTTAAGAATAAGGGTCTCCTGGGTAGTATCATGGTTAAGGGCATGACCTTGAAGTCCAGCAGGTGTGGATGCTAATCCCAGGGCAGCCACACACCAGCAAATCACTATATATCCTGGAGTCTCTTTTTTTATCTGTGGAAAGTGTCTACTCATAGTACCCATCAAATTGTAAGCACTAAAATAATGCTCGATTACTTATTAATATTTTTATTATTAATTAAAATTATTTTGATAATTATTTCTACTCTTGCAATTCACTAACTTACTGGTTATTAATCCTGGTGGATCTTTGGGTTGAACAATTTACCTCTTCAATATGAGAAGGGGGCTGGTGATGGGGATCGTCAGCTGTGCCTTCTAGAACAGCAAGGGCCTGGGGGCCTAAATACCACTCTTGAGGCCATTTCTAATCTATTCCTAGACTGGATTTCGAGGAGAAGATATTTTCCTTTCTTGAGGTCCAACCCCAGTATTTGGCATCAGATCCTCTGTAGTGATTCCTTCTTAGAAGATAAAGTACGGCTTTCATCCCTGGCGCCCTGCTCCCTCTTCCATTTTCACAATATGCATGGCTTTTGGGGTCAGGAATCTGACAAGCGTAGTGAGCTTAAATGACAGTGCATGATGATTTGGTTGAACCTCTCCCCTTCCCCCCTTCCCCTCTCTCCTCCCCCATCCTCCATTTTGTATCCCAAGGCTTTTGGAAATGCCAGAACACTCCGGAATGACAATTCCAGCAGATTTGGAAAATACATGGACGTCCAGTTTGACTTTAAGGTACATTGACGTTCCTGTTACTGGTTCACGGGGACCCCTGAATTTTCCAGTGACAGACATTCAACCCAAGGCAGCTTAAGGAGGGGGGAAGGGCATTCGTTGGCTCAAATAGCTGAAAAATCCAGCATTAGTACTAGTTTTGGGAAATGCAAATAAAGGCCACAATGAGATACCATTTTATACCTTCGAGATGGGCAGAAATTAAGAAGTTTAATAATATTAGGCGTTGGCAAAGATGTGGATCATTAGGAATGGTTATACGCTGTTGGTGGGGGCTACGTTGGTACAAGCCATTTGGAAAACAATGTACTGTGGAGTAGAAATCATGTAATCTAAGGTGGGGACGTTCCACCCCTAGTGATGTTCTTACCGATGTGCAAGCATGCCCACAACAGCACTGTTCATGATGGTAAAAGAACTGGAAAGAGCCAACACGTCTGGAGAGGACTGAATGTCCATCGACAGGACACTGGCTAGTTAAATTGTGGGGTGCTCACACAATGAGGGGTTGTATGGCAGTGAGAGCAAATGAATGACAGCCATGCATAATATGGACATGACTTGGGAATATTTACTGTGTCAGTGTGATGCTGTTTCTCATAAAGCTTGAAAACATTCGCAAGTCAGCTATGTATTGTTTAGGCATCCATAATTATATGACATGGATGAGCAAACTTTTTCACACAGGGCCATATAGTAAATATTTTAGGATTTGTGGGCCATACAGCCTCTATTGCAATTACTAAATTCTGTTGTATCATGAAAGTAGCCAGAGATAATATGCAATAAATGAGTGTGGTTGTGTTCTGTCCAGGGGCTGATGCAAGTGGGAAGGGTAGACAGAGTGCTCAAGGACATATAATTCTGAGTGACAAAGTGACACTTAGGCTGGAGAACAGTACTCAGCTGAGTATTGAGTGTACTGATAAGGACAGGATTCCCCAGAGGCTGGTGCATGGACCTCTGCTGGTATGTGCATAGACTTTGAAAAGAATTTAATAGCTATACATACTTTAAACTTTTTATTGAAATTCAACATACATCCTGGAAAGGATACAGATCACTAATACAACTTGGTAAATTTTTACATATGTCTCTACCTGTGTAACCACCACTCAGATCAGGATATAAAAATGTCTCACACTTAGAAGATTCTCCCACCCTTCTCTGACAATATCTCCCTTCCCAAAGGGTTACCACTATTCTGACCTCTGTAATCAGATTAATTTTGCTGGTACATTATATTTTGTGTCTGGCTTCTTTCAATCAACATTTGATCTGTGAGATTCATCCATGTCACTGCATGTAGCATGGTTCATTTTTTGATTGTATGACTTTTATCACCATTTACCTGTTCCCCTGTTGGTGGATATTTGGGTTGTTTCCAGTTTGGGGCTATTGAAAATAGTGCCCTGAACATCCTTGTACATGTCTTTTAGTAGATTCAAGCATTCATTTATGTTGGGCATATACCCAGAAGTGGCATTGCTACGTTCTTACCAGCAACGTTATGATAATTAATGACAGTTCCAGTTACTCCATGCCCTTGCCAGCATTTGGTATGTCGGCCCTTTTAATTTTAGGTGTCTCTGGTGGGGTATAGTTCTTTCTCATTGTAATTTATGTTTTTATCTCCCTGATAATTAATGAAGTTTTGCTAATTGGTCACTTAAAAATCTTTTATGTTAAAGTCTTTTGCTCATTTTTAATCAGGCTGTTTTTTTGTTTGTTTGTTTTTTGTTTGTTTTTTTTTCCTTATTGATTTGCAAGAGTTCTGTATGTATTCTGGAATGCAAATCATATATTGGATATATTAAAAATAATTTAGTGTGATTGACACAAGGATATGTAAGCAGGCCAATGAACCAGAATAGTGTCCAGAAAGACCCCCAAGTATAGGCCTCCTACTTGACTTATGACAAAAGCACCTCTGTGATTCAGTAGGGAGAGGATTGACTTTTTTAGTAAATGGTGCTGACCAACTGGAAATTCATAGGGATAAAAAGACCTTTGACCCTCTACCTCACACCATAATCAAAAATTAATTAGCGATCAATTATAATCCTAAACATGAATAGTGTAACAATCATGCTTCCAGACAAAAACACAAAAAACATCTTCATCGTCTTGGAGTAAGCAAAAACCTTTTTAAACAGAGCCCAGAAAACACTAATCATAGCAGACTGATAGATTAGATTTCATTCAGGATTTCTATTCCTCAGAAGACACCAGTAAGAGAGTGTCTTGGTTATTGTTGTCATTGCTGCATTT